TTTTCAAAGTTCAGCATCTACTCTCATTAATTATTGTCTGACACACACACACCCTCAATCTCCTGCAATGTGAAAACTGTAAATGGATAAAAATCAGAAAAAATAATTAAGAGTTAAACCATTGATATTATCCATCAAAATTATAATCAAATAAAAAATGAACTCTGCCAAGCCTAGTTACAATCAATAGTAACTCTAGTAAAGTGGTCATCAAGCAGTTAACTGGTTTACTCAGCGTATTATGCTAGTTTCTATTTAGTTGGTGGTTGTTTTCCTCCACTCTGTTACATTATTGAATTAAAGCGGCATATTCCCAGCCTGCAGTCCTGTAAGCAGAGTCTGATTCTTGTGTGCTGACGAGTCCCTTTACAAAAAAGGAACAAAGATCTTTGCCAAGCATCATGAAACCAAATCAAGATCTTGACTGTGATGAGAGGAACAGTTCTGAAGAGTTAGGAGCAAACAGCATGGTTTGGATTAAGGATGGAAGTGTTCTTTATATTTATATCCAACAAGTGTCTTTACTGAACAGGTTAAGTTCTCTTGAAACTTCTCAATAGCATGTGAAAATTTGCCATTATTTAGAAGCTCAGTTCTTTTATTAATGCATTCCCCAACACCCCATTAAGATGCTCCCCTCTCTAATAGATTCATTCCCCTGAGACCCTGTGACTCATTGTATGATAAACTTGGACCATTTGCAGTTCCACCTCTGTTTTATGTGGCCTTCGTAGTTTTAAAATAAAATGTTTTTTCCCTATGATGCCATTCACGGCATTTTTTTTTTTTGAGTTGTCATGGCCAAGGCAGAATCTTGAAATAAATAAGGGTTGTACTGAACATTTTTTCTCAGTGATGCCTCGAGGCAGGGATAAGCACATCTTATTTGTTTGTACAAATCTAAATAATTATTTAAATAGATAAAATCCTCTTTTTCTGGCATGTGACATTTCTTCGTGGATCTAGCTCTGTCTACCTTTATCTTTATCTATCATGCCCATCACTGTACTAAGCATTTCAGCAGTTTCCCAAGACTGGAATCTGGCCCTTAGCCAAAAACTGTTGAATACCACTGCTCTGAGATGTTCATTTAAATTGTCTTCATTATAACTAGAGTTGCTTCCTAGCTGCCGTGTAATGATTAGGCCTGGCAGAATTTGATTTTTTTTTTAAATGTAATTTCAGTGGCTAATATCAATATTTATTTTAAGCATTTTTTATTTGTATCAATTTAAATGTTCACACTTGTGGGAAATTCTGGTGGTCAGACGGGAAGGGTTCAGACAATTATTTAATGACCATGGAGCTTGAGATTCAAAAAGTTAAAGCTTTATAATTGCTAAAACACATATGTCAAAATGTACAAAGTAAATATCTTTCAAACAAGCCGTAATAAGTGCCCAAGCAGCATTGTTTTTACTTTGTCTATCTCTAAATTTCGATCAATATTGATGGAACTATTTTTTCGTTGGCTTGTGTATACAGCATAATCAACGTTTATCAACATTTACTGACAAAAATCGAACCCTTCCAAGCCTAGTGACAATGAACTCTGGATAAAATATGGCTATCTGCATGGAAAAGGAAAAACAATACAATATTAAAATAATTGGCCAAATTTCTACATTCTGGTTGGTGTCATGCAGCTTATATATCTAGTCTGTAAAGGACTTCACGAGCTTTGTGGACAAATACAACATTATTAATAAATGCAAATGCAAATTATTCTGGTATATTCTTACGGCTACTACTAATACTATTGCTGTTACCACAACATGTGCTAGGGCATTTTGAAAGCATGCAGCATTCCTCCTATAGCATTCTAGGCAATTGGTTACCCCTCAGTGCCTCTCTCCAGATTATAAACACGGTATTTTCTATTAAGATTTGGGTGGGAAGCAGAAAACCATAAAACCTTTCAGGATGTTAGTTTAGCTTCTGAGCAGCAGTGCTTAAACTGTGCAGGAAAAAGAGATGGCAATCTGATTAAGGTGCCACCCAAACGCTGCAGATGTAAATTTGTTATATGCGACTCAAACAGCGACAAACAGGGTAGACTCTCCCCTTGTCCGTCTGCCTCTCACCACCAAACAGTTGTGTGATCTCTGTAAATGAACCTTCACTCTGGCCAGGGTAATCGGATGTTTCCTCCATCTTGGATGGCTTGGGGTGGGGGAGATAAATCAGAGACTCGGGTTTCTAGAGAGAACTCTTCTTGCTTGTGCTGAGGCAGGAGCTGCCCTTTTAGGCCCCAATCCTGAAATTCAATCCCCCTGTTTCTACATAGAGTCCTACTGAGGTCAGTGGAATGCTGCATGGGTGAAGAAGCCAATGCTACCATTTTCTGATGCAAAATGAGGATACTGGGGCTTAAGCTACAAAGCACACTGGCCTTCATTCAGCAAAGCACTTAACAGCAGGTGCTTAACTGTTAAAGCAGCGGAGTACTCCCATTGAAATCAGCAGGACTAGTCCCGTGGTTACAGTTAGACAGCTGTGTAGGTGCTTTGCTGGACTGGGACCAGAGTGCTTAGCATATAACAGGATCGTGCTTTTAGTGATCAATTCATGTTCTGTTCAGTTCTATTCTGCTGTCCTTCCCTGCCCAGGAGGAAGATCCCGGGACTCTTCTCACAAAGAGTGATTCTGATCTGTTGTGCCCTGAACAAGATTCCTTTTCTCATTAGCACGGGGTCCTATGCCCAAACCCAAGTGTGAGATCTTGCTGAATTGTTAGTCGCTGCCATGTTTGCCTATGGAGTGATTGGACTGCCAGGGTTTGAACCAATTGCTTTGTATAGCACCGTGGCATGCTTGGAGTGTGCGAATGGATTTGTGGAAAACTAAAGTTGCACTCTGTTCTTTTAGGGGGAAATGTGTCCATTCGAGTAGGGCCTGCAGAGGTCCCTCCTGCAGCAGAAGTATGGAGCTACTGCTACTCAAGGGGCTCTGCCTGTGGAAGGCTCAGGGTATGGTCCCTGGGCCCAAGGGACAGGAATCGGTGACTATAAACCACCACTGAGGCGCTGTATAGAGCCAGCCAGCTGAGGTAGCAGCCACAGAGGGTCTGTGGAGCTGCCATCTGTCCTACCTGCATTCTGTTCCGATGCCTCACCTGCGCCTTGGTTCTCCACCCCAAGAGCATTAACATGCGTGTCTTGAAGAATTGGGAGAGGGCTTTCACCTTCACTGGATGGGTGTGAGCTGTCTTTATAGCATGGCAATATTTCTAGGAGGTTATATCACAGGCTAATTCTTTACCAAATTCCAACACAAGGCCTATCACAGAAGCTGGAGATAGAGAAAGCCTATTAGATCAACCAGGCCATCTTTCCATACCAGTGCACCACCGCTCCCTACAGTGCATTTCCTAGTGCTATGTCCCAAACGATGGCGCTTCCACCAGCTCCACAATCCAAGGTTATGTCTACACTCAAAACCCTGTAGCGGCGTACTGGCAGGTGCACCGCTGTAGCACATCAGCGTAGACATGTACTACAGCGCTGGGAGGGTTTCTCCCATCACTGCAGGTACTCCACCACCCCAAGAGGCGGTAGCTAGGTCGACGGAAGAATTCTTCCTTGCCCTCTCTACATCGGGGGTTAGGATGGCTTCACTACATTGGTCAGGGGTGTGGATTTTTCACACCCTTTCAAGATGTAGACCAGCCCTAATACAGCTCCCTCTCTGGAAGCTTGGACATTCAGTGTACATGTTCCCCATCTTAATCTCATCCATCTCTTCAGAAGAGAAGGTCAAACTAATTTGACTTGTGACCTTAACCTGGAAGGGAACCCAGCTGTCTTCTGGTAATTTATTTAACTCTTGTTCCACACCAGATAAGCAGTATTGCAATAAAAAAGACAGTGTGGTTTTGGAGCTGGGACTCAGGATACCTGGGTTCCATTTCTGGCTCTGGCACTGATCTGCTGGACTAGCTACTTCCCCTCTTGGTTCCTGTTTCCCCTCCGACTCTTTGTCCATCTGATCTGTTAACTCCTCAAGGCAGTCGTCCCCTGTCACCTAGTGTATGTGCAGCCCCTGGCACAAAGGGGACTTGACCCTGGCTGGATCCTTTAGATGGGACATGGATTTGTGTTTACAAAATAAATGCCCCTGTCCTAAATGTTTCTAAATCCGAAACTGGAACAAAGTTAAAAAAGCAAAGCTGTTAATGGTAAAATAGCCTAAACCTTCCACAGAATCCCTGCAAAACGACTCATATAATAACTCAGGCAACAGTATCCTCCTAGCTATTGAGCACGCCCACCTGACTGTGCTAGCATGAATTCCTTCACAATGAGCACAGGAATAAAATGCATCAGCACACACTGAAATGGGAAGAATAGGTTAACCATGGGCAGAGAAAGGGTATTGGAAACTCAGCAGGAAAGATCAAGAGAACCTTCTTTTCCTCCTCAGGCATGTCTTCTGCCTGTTACTCTGACATTATTTTTTTCCCCTCGAGGGAGATTTCCAGGGTACATCCCCCTCTATTGTGTTAAGGAACTGAGCTGTAGTGACTGGTGTGTAGCGATTAGATCTGGATCCCAAGGGCCAAGTCACCCAGCTCAAAAAGCTATCGATCTAAGACAGTGGAGTTGAGACCTTTCTCTGTAGGATTCAGAGTAGCAGCCGTGTTAGTCTGTATCCGCAAAAAGAACAGGAGTACTTGTGGCACCTTAGAGACTAACAAATTTATTAGAGCATAAGCTTTCGTGGGCTACTGCCCACTTCTTCGGATGCATAACTCTGTAGGAGTTTGCCACCTACTGATTTGCACGTTCTTTATACCCGGTGCCAAAATGGGGGGAGGAAGGTTAATTTAGGGAAACGTGTGAATTGCCCTCAACGGACAATGCAGGGGACCCCAGAGGAAGAGACTGAAATGGGGGTGGGGAAAGGCTTTAGCCCAGCTGTTGAGCTCCAACTAGGAGAGGGAAATTAGCATGAGGGAAGGGCACAGTGTGTGTGTGTGTGTGTGCGCGCGGAGGGGGGATGAGGAAGGGTTTCTCTTTCTTTCTCTCAGTGCTCAGTTAATCCTGCTGTCAGTTGGTGTTAAGGCAGCAGTCTAAACGCTGGATTCCAAGAGAAAGAGCTGCACAATACAGAAGGCATAGCAGAAGGGAGGAGAGAGAGAGAAAGAGACTAGAGGGGGAAAAAAAACAAATCTATGCTTGGAACTGAGGTTCTTTTTCGCCAATGCAAAAAGGAATATGCAGCACATTTTTGCCTTCTTCTGCACCAGTTTCCTAGGGACGGTGTTAGGGGCCAATTTCCCCAACAATATCCAGATAGGTGAGTTTGAGATGCTTCGGAGCTGCGGTTCTATTTGTGAGCGACTTTCCCTGGCAAGCAGCGGGGGGAATCTGACCAATTCATTCCCTTTGCTTGCAAAGAAAGAATGTGTATCTGTGTGATGTGCAGGGTGGATTTTGATGTGGCTAGAGCTGTGGAGGCTGCCGAAGAGATCATAATAGCAGGGATGTATCAATTCTTCCAGGGGGGAAATCAGTGCCTGCACCCAAAAGTGCCTCAGAAATGGAGGAAGCAAAAAAAACTGTTTGTTTGTTTGCTAAGGAAAATACCAGGGCTGGTGCTCTGCATGTGGGGAGTGGGGGAAGAGACGGGGAGCGGGGTAGTAAAATGCAATCGGTGCTTTTTTAATTTTTGGCAAGGTTTCTCATGTCTGGAGGTGGAGTACCTGGCGGAGGAAACAACACTAGACCATCTCGGTTGTTGTTGTTGTTTGTTGTGAAAGAATAAGGCCAGAGCTAGTCTAGGAGGATGTTGCACTCAAATCTGTTTTCATTCCATTCCACTTGCTTTCCGTTAGTACTGGCAATTCCCCATGTCTTTGTCTCTTGCCCTCCCCCATTCTATAATTTCACAGCTTCTCTCATCCCTCCCCCACCTTCTTATTCTTTATTATTATTTTATTAGATGCAATTGGGTACCACATCTCTGCTCCTCTCTCTCCCTTGTGCATAGGTCCCTTTCCATCACCCCTCTCTTTGTAATGCTAACCGTTTGCTAAGCCAGTGAGTTAAAGCAACTCCGGGGTTAGTCCAGCTGCACAATTGGTGCATTTATTGCTGTTTATGCTTCTTTGCTTCCCTCCTAGCCACTCACCCCCGACTCAGGATTTATTCGACATCTCCAGCTTTTTTCCCATTTAAAAAAAAAAAAGATGGATGGATGCATACTGGCGGGTTGGTTTTCCTTTGGCAGCAACACTTAGGCATGATTTTTTTTTGGTGCGCAAATGCCCCCTCCACACTAGTAGGAGATATAATCTGTGTAGAAAATGTGCAAAGTGCCTTTCCTGCCAATGGGCAGTTCTCTGCACTGCTGGTTCCTTGCTGATTTTCCAAGCAGTTTGCTTGGGGAAAGTTGTAATTAATCAATAGACCTTTTTCTTTTCATTCCATTAGTCACTATATCTCTCTGTGCTTCGTTTCCTGACTTGTAAATAAGGATAATAAGACTCCCTTTTACATTTGTAAGGACAGCAAGAAAACCCCGCTGTAGAACAGTAAATATTAAAATAAGAGTGTGGACGGAATCTAAACCCTCATGCTCTAGAGCAGAAACTGACCTCTAAAAATTGGGAGTCAGAAGCAAACTTTCCCTGGGATCAGGTTATCCCATCAATGCCTACTACAAGGTCTCTTACAACTTCCCCTGAGGCAGCTGGTGCTGGCCACTGTCAGAGAGAGGATGCTGGGCTAGATGGATCTTGGGTCTGATCCAGACTGGCAAGTCCTATCCGATTTGTACTATAATTCCAGGGCTTGCCTGGCAATCATCTCAGTGGGCAAACCCCGTCATGGTCAGATTTTTGACTGGTCTTGCAGGCTTTGTCTGTTGTCACCTGTAAAACAAAATGCTGGTCTTCTCAGTGCGGCGAACTTCATCCCTGCTTAGCAGCAGGTGGCCTGTCAAGAAGGCTTTATTCTCCACCTTCACAACAACCGTCTTAGGAGTTTCTCTTCCCTCAGTCCCCAGCCACCAAATATTATTCATTCTGGGTCTGATTCTGCCAGCCTAACCCCTTCCGAGCAGCACTTTACTCCTTGAGTAGAGTAGCGCATTTGAGTCCATTGGGCTGTTTGTGGTGAGTCGGGGGGGGGGCAGAATCAAATGTGGGCCTACAGACGGGTGAGCTGCATGAGGTGCTTTCTCCACTGGGTTAACTGGTTACGGGGGGGGGTGAGGGGTAGAGAGATGCTGTTCTCCCTCATAAGGATATCCTGGCAGTACTTCAGTTCTTGTCCCTTACCGTTATGCCGGGGACTTACCCCAAATCAATTGGCTCAATCCCATGCTAGCCACTGCCAGGCCGAGGGAAATGTGTGAGCTGGCATATTTTTGATACATGTCTGACACAAGGCACCAAAAGATGCCTAAGCGCATATCCCCTTGTTTCTCGCCGTACTGGGAAGTTATGGAGTCTAGCCGCACGTGAGTAGCATTCGTTGAGCTGGGGAGCAGTCGCTTCCTGTCAAAAGACGGGTTGTAACAAACGAGCCTTGCAATGTGGATGCATTTAAGACCTTTGCTTTGTTTTGTTTTTTCTCTCTAGGGGGATTATTTCCTAATCAGCAGTCCCAGGAACATGCGGCTTTTAGGTTTGCATTGTCTCAGCTCACAGAACCCCCTAAACTGCTTCCCCAGATTGACATTGTGAATATTAGCGACAGCTTTGAAATGACATACACCTGTAAGTAATGGCTTTCCGTACTCTCTCTCTTTTTTGTGGCTTTCATCCTGGCTGGTTTTTCCTCTGAAATGAGGGACGTATGTACAGGGACTCTTGCTCCCAACTTGAAATCCTCCATCAGCTCCATGTAAAGAAACTCTGTACAAGAGATTTCTGATTCTGTTTGGTTTGTTTCAGGACTTGGGCATTAGGTATCTCTGCAGTTGTTCACGAGATGTCTTATATTTTCTCTGTTGATGATTTTAAAGTGCTATGTAAAAACCTTGCAGTTACTCTCTGCTTCTTAATCTCTCCCACACTTTTCATGGTGGGGTTTCATTTCAGTTCTCGCTCCTATGTTTGTCATAGCCCTGATGTGACACACACCCCACTTCTGGGCGTGGAATGGGCTACTTAATAGAACACCTCTTTCTCTAGCCTCAGGTTAGCCAGGCAACATTTCTGGTGGAAGTAACAGATAGCTGAAAAAAGGGTGCTAGATGCAATTAGAGGCTGGATTTAAAACAAGGGACATGCCCAATAATGAGAGAAAGGAGAGAGGTCTGGTTTCAAATTTTGCTGGAATTATCAGTGCCATTAAAGTGTTTCTGAGAACTACCACAGCAGAACCATGAATATGGCTTAGCTGCACGTTACTAAAGAACGCTGCCTATTGGACGGCTTCTCATTACGTGGGGTGGTCGGGAGCAAAAAGAATGTATCGCCAGGTAATATCAGGATTAGCAGTAACAAAAGGAATGGGGAAAAAAACCCGCAGTTCAAAATGGGAATACTGCAGGGCTCCCCTCTTTGTATTGTGCAGTCCAGTGCTTTGTTAGAGAGACTAGAGCCTGTTGTGACTTGATGCACAAAGAATTCTTTCATTTGATCCAGTGTTCTACTCATCGCTTTCAATCCGTGTGTGTATTTAAGGACTGGCAGTAGGGACTGGAGGGATATAAGAAAGCCTTCTTTTTGTGATTCCTGGTGCATTGTTATTGGCTAACGTTTGTAGTATCCTTTTGATTCACTGAAACACCCTCTCTGCAGTTTAGTCATGTGGCTAGCCAGATTGATATGGATACAAACTGTTCTCCTCTGCTAAGAAATGCACAGGGGAAAAAAATGTTCCCTTGGAAAAATAACCCAATACGTACAAGCGGAAGAATTAACGAAGTGTTTCTTTGGAGGAAGGAGGGTTACGTGTTTCTGTTGTGAGGTCTGTAAACAGAGGGTTTTGCAATCCTGGAATTCTTCAGATAGCGCTAAAAAAAAAAAGAGAGAGAGAGGTAATAATGTGGCCACTTTTTCACTGTAGTAGCTAATGACTACTGTAAAGATTTTTTTATTTTCCTTAATAGTCCTCTCTGAGCCAACTGGTAGGCTTCCATCAAGCCAGAAAAAAACTATTTCAGGTCAATTCAATGAGACTTTATTGGCAGAACAAGCTAAACAAGCCTTGCCAAAGTATAAGAAAAAGAAAGATCCCTCTGATATTTGTCAAAGGGGGATACGACCTACCCAGGAGAGGATTATGGGCTGCGTTTGGACTTGTCCATTCCTGATCTGGTAGCAGGTCGCTAAGCAGGACCGGTGGAATCTGATCTCCGGTGCAGGCCTGTTTCACAGAATACTGTGTCTGATCTTCAGTCCTCCTCCCTCTGTACACCTGTCTCTGATGACTGTGTTTACTCCACAGCCATTAGTGATGACAGCAGGAACATGAGGAAACCCTGTATCATTAGTACACAGGGGGATGTGGGCTGACAAAGGCTAAATGAAAGCGAGCTGGCCCCCCAAAGAGATGGAAAGCTTCACAGGCTGGATGTTATATTTAAGTTTTATGTAGGACACGTTGTCCTAGATCAGACAGACAAAGCGCTCCATGCAATCCAACTTCATTTAGTCTCAATTTTTTTTTTAATTAAAAGCTTCCCAAAGTCTGTTCTCCAAGGCTATGGAAAGCAGCATTTGTTTTGCAGGCACAAAAAGGGAGTTAATCCAGTCATGTAGCCTGAAAGTAGGCTGTCATCTCCTGGTGAATTCCCCTCCTGAGTGCCAAGCCTAGACATCTGCAGGGTGGAAGAGCAAAGATCCCTTTATTTGTGGGGAATAAAATCCCTGAGTGCTTGGTGGACCTATCATTTTTAGAAGATAATATACGTTACTGACTAAAGATACAGATTGTTTGTTTCCATGGAGATACAGAAGATGCCACTGTTTCTCTAACTTGAATTACCTGCATCTCCAAATGCTCTGTCTATGGTGCTTCATGTACCAAGAAGTCTAGCATGGGACCTGAGTAAACTAATAGATCAGACGCCTGCAGCCCTGCCTCATGCCAGAATTCAGTCTGCCACCGTCACCCGTGTCCTCGTGGCAATTCTAAATGCAAAATAAGTATTAAGAGCCGGTGGTCACTGCGGTAGTACGAAGCCGAGCTAGGTAGCATGTGAGGCACAAACAAGGTAGCAGCATGAGGGCCTGGTGCAAGAGGACAGCTTGCAAAATGCATTTCATCCACTGTTTGTGCCACTGTCTACACTACCTGCCCTAGAACTGTTTACCCAATAAGGATGGATAAGCTCTGTTGTCACAATTGGTGAATTCACTCGACAGGATGTAACCAGTCACCCCCGGCGATGGGGCAGGTAACAGTGCTGATGCACAGAGCCTGCACATCAGTGAGGATGTTGGATTGACAATTATGATCTAGTGTCCCTCAAAAGCAATAAGCCAGGTGGAATATCAGTCTGTTGCAACTGGTTGCCAGGCCATCAGTCAGCGGCAATACAGCACAGCAATAATCTTGTGATTTCTGATGGATCTGAGCTTGACATTTATGCTGTTACAGAGCAATATTGAATATTCCAACTCAAAGACATTGGTTAACTGAAAGGTATGTACTGTAAAAAGTTTAACTCCCTTATCCTAACCCTGTAAGAAGAACAGGACATTTTAAAAAAATCCTCTACGCCTTATGGATCTATGAAAATAACCAGTGACCGTAATTGAAATTAATATCCAATAACCTCTCATTTCATGCATGTGGTTAATAACCATGCTTGCATGTGAAAATTCACTGGGCACATTCTAATAACCATCTTAACTCTGACCCACAAGACATAGGGTAATGTATTGGCTTTGTGTTTGTGTCAGTGTGTGTTATGTAGCCCCCATGTGGCTGGGTTACAGGGAGAATGTGGGACTGACCACTGTTATTAGTTAAAGGAGATATCCTACAGCTCAGATGGCAGCAGCTGTATTCGTACATCTTTTATCAGAGAGACAGTTATTTTGGGAGAGTACTAATGTTACAGCCCACCTGACCACAGAAGTATATTCCAGCGAGAGGTTAGTATAAAGGGCAAAATCGTGACATTATATAGCAGAAGGGTTTGTACTGGAATTCAGTGGACCAAAAGGTTATATAGAACTTTCCAGTCACCGTCAGAGACCCGAGCGCAGATTCTGGCTGTGGTCATAATTGGAAATGAATGTTGTGGTCTCCAGTGAGCTTTGTCTGCATCACAAAACCCACCACGTACTTTATGTTGGGACTGACGGTCCGTGTCCGCTCAGCTGCAGCAGTTGCAGTTCAGACCTGAGAGGTATTGGTGGAATTGTGTGAAATGCCAGCTCCTGGAAATGCAGAATGCTGCAGCTTAGGACGTAGCTACAACTGCATAGCCAAGTGGAGGACCAGGCTGAACACAAGTATTGTAGTCAGGGATCAAAGGGCAACGAAAGAGTTGTGTACAAGAGGTTTGCACTGAGCCTGCCCCTACTGAAGGTCAGTTTCAGCTAAGCTTCTACTAGGTCTCCATTGATGCATGAGTAGCCTACTGGGAGTGTGTGTTACAGATCTCCCCTGTACCAAGGATATGAGCTGTTACAGCCCCACATTACTGAGCAATGGCTTTTAGCTCATGCTGTTTGCTCTGGAGGTGCAGGGTTCAATCCAAGTCAGTCAAGGATGGTGGCCATCACTCATGCACACCACCACTTGCAAGTAAAACCACCTACTGAAAAGTATTAGCATTTGCACCCCTATAACCCACTGGAGCCAATGGGTTTTTGTTGGTGCAAAGGTAAGCCTTTGTGTGTGCCTAGGTACCGGGCAATTTAAAAGATGGACACAAGCATTAGCATTCGTGGCATGGCATGCAGGTGTTTGCACATGCAAAGTGCATGAATTTTCAGCTGCATGTGCGTGGAGGCTGAAGGCTGAAAATCCAGACCATAATACTTTGTTATATCATTCTCCATCTGTGCGTGTACAGTGCCCATCGCTGATTGGGTGATCCCGAATGGGTACTGCTATTGGACTAATAATACTATTAATAAAATCAGTGATACTTTAGAAAATGAAAACAAGAGGAATGGGTTTGTGTTGTAAAACTACATAGCAGAACCAACTAAGAAGAGATCTGTCCTGATCTCTCATTATTTGATTAGGTTCTGACCTATAATGCCAAGATAATTTGATAGCAATAATAATATATAAAGGACTAACTACACACGAATGATTTTGTTTGTTTGCTTGAGATACCCATGTGCACACAGTGCTTCTGTACCTTGCTCTTCATCTCTCAAATTACCTTTTTTAGTGGCAGAAAGTAAGACACCCATTTTAATGTTCTCAAATGAGGATCTAAATGTGATTTAATTAAACAATTATTGTATGAGGAATTAAAAATCCCTTTTTGTTGACAAACCGAGTGGTCGCCATTGCTCGGAATGGCGCTGCTTGTAATTATTCCGGCAGCAATCAATTAAAATGCAGTTTTGTAATTAAACTTCCTTAATCCCGGAGAGGCCTGTCCTAGGATATTATGTAAATTTTGGAGTGGTGTAGGGGTGGCGGGGGTTGAGTAGTGCTATAAAAATACGGTAAACAGTGTACTTCTGCAGTGATAGAGATGCCTACTTCACACGATCTAAACCAGCAGAAATACCTGTTTAATGATCAAATGACATTGAGTTAATGCAATAGCTGCTGCGAGTGAATGCCTCTCTTT